ACTTGAAATTTTAATATACTTACAGGTACACTATAATATTTAAACAATACTAAAATAATGAGATGCTATTTTTATAATAGACTTGAGCATATGGTGTTTGAAATAGTTCTCTCAAAATATCTATGAGTTAAGTTACATATGTGTTTGCTTTTATTTTTTAGTTCAGATTTAAGAGTTCTTATTTCATCATATTCTAATCCTTCAAGAATACAAATTGCATATTCTAAGAGAAAATTTTTACGAAGGAGTCAATAAAAGGAACACTTTTGTAACAAAACAGGCAATTTTCTCAAGTTTACTGAAAATGCAAATGATGTTTAGAGTGGTTGTTTTTTAAAAGAAATGAAGAAAAAAACTGGGAAAGCTCAAGAACTGGCATTAAAACACAGCTCTTCAAGGGGCTAAATACCTCGCCTTTTTATAATGATTGATTAATGTATAACCCTTAAAATATTTAGTGGTACAAGTGGTTACTATGTGCCATGAATTATTTTTGAATGTCATTTTTCTCTCAAGTCTGCTTGGGGTTGCAGACACTCCGTGATGAAGGCTTTGATTGCTTGTATTAAAGGAACGATTGCAGGGTTCACATTTTACTGTGAAAGATGTAAGATTGAAGCAAGGTATCATACTGCTTTCTGAGCTGGTGTGCAGACATATTTGCAAGACTAGCCAAGGTTTTCCTTGGGAAATGGTCTTGGATCTGTCCTTAGTTGAGACGCCAAAGACTATAGAGCAGAGAAGACACAAGCATATTTTTCTGGAAATATTTTCAACCACAATCTACCATCGACATAGTCACAGAAAAAATCTTGTCAACTTTCTGAGTCACAGTAAATTCTCAGTAAGCTTTTTGTGACATCTGGGCAACAATAGTGTACCACCTTGTCTGCCTGCTAGAATGAGTTAGGTTTAAAAGTGTAGTCCCGGTCATTGAGTTGGTATACTTTATAGAGGTACGTGAATCAAATAGATTCTTGAGATAGTCTGCTCTCTTTGATCTAATTCATTTGACCCATCTTTCTGGTATGAGTTAGATACCAAGCACCAAAATCTCTAGAGGCCCCTTCTAGTTCATGACAATAAACTATGGCATTTGTCTTTTTTGTCCTTGATAACAGTTCTTACAAAGAACTTAGAATTGGTCTTAAAGGTCCTCCACAACTTGGTCCCCATTTCCTCTCTGCCTCTCATTCTGACTTACTTAACTCCAGCTTCACTGGAGTCCTTGTTATTCCTAGAGCACACCAGGCAAACTCCTGTCTCAGGGCCTTTGCACTGTCTGTCTCCTAGACCAAGAAAGTGAATCAAATAGCTTCTTGAGATAGTCTGCTCTCTTCAAATCTTTGTTTAAATGTCTTCTGCTTAGAGGCATACCCTGACCACCACATTTAGCATAGTAACTCCCATAAGCATCCCCATGCCCATTATCTTGCTTCACTGTTTGCCATGGTACATGTCATTTCCTAATATATTTTACCTGTATATTGTATATTTACCCAAATTTTTATAATATATTTACATATTTTTTTTGTCTTCCTCCCTGAAAATAGAGATTCCATGATCTCTGTCTCTTTGCTTCTCTTCTCTATCCCCAGCACCACAAAAGTGCCTAGCATGTAGTAGGCGTACAGTAACTAGCTGTTGAGTGAAGAAGAGCCATTACATACTAGAAGCTCTATTTGGATAGGTCCACATGTACTTTGATCACTTCTATGGGCTTTGTGTTTTCTTAGTGCCGAGAACATAGAAAGTTCTCAGTAAAATCTGTTGGTTGGATGAATACATAAATTTCATCTAAAAGCCAAAAGGACATTTGGGTATAAATAAAGAGAAGGGAAGCCAAAAGTATTTTCCTGTCTTATGCCATTTGAAATGTGTGGCCTGTCAGAAAATTCTTTCTCCAGCAATGGTCCTTACAGAGCTAGAAGGCAGGTTTTATGAAAACATTAGTGATCAAGGGGCCTAAAAAATTCATACTTAATATCTAACCCATTCTGTTTTATAGAGTCAAAGGTAGAACATAGGCCATTGAAACCCACAAGACATTTTTATATTTTTCAAAGCAAGTTTCTTCATGAGGAGAGTGTGTAATAATTATCAGTAATGATGTACTTGGTCCTGAAGCCCATTCACTCATTTAACATTTCAAATAACAAGATTCGGAGCTGCCGTTTGTTAAGGAGAGGTGGGCATAATATTTCTAAGAAATATCCAGTTTGAAAAGGAAAAAGTGTTGCCACTCTTGAAAATAGGGTGCATTACTCTGTGATGGTTTCCAAAAGCAATTATGCTGATGGTGGGTGACTTCTCATTACTCTCATTTGCTACGTGTAATAACCTAAATAGATTTTGCTACAATTTGAGTCAGCATTAATAAAGTTAGAAGTAATAAGACTGAGGATCTCAGGGTATGCAGATGCCATGACCTCTTCTACTATCGTCATTGGACCCAATTCTGTCGTTATTATTAGCATTTCTCAGTTCATCACATCTCTGAATCCTGGAGCATCTTTTCCTCATGTTCTCCCCTGGATTCTTCCCTGGGTCATTTGGACTAGATCTCTGAGTCAATGTTCAGAGTATTGTACAAGGGTCGGAAGAGGTACAAGTAAGAAGGATATGTTTGGTACCCCAAAAGACTTTTCCCACAGTAATATTCTTATATCTATTTGCTAGATTCCTCTATAGTGACATTTAAGTACTATTATTAAATGTTTCAATGCTACTATTAAAAAATATTTTTGTGGGTTGAATTTGCCACTAAATTCCACACATATCATCTCTTTTGAAAATATATTCCAAGTACCAATAATTCATTCATAGTTCAAAGATTGTCATTACTGTTAACATCTTAAATACCTATCTGGCATTGAAATAAACTTCTTAGCTCTCTGCAGAACATGTGAATCACTTGAACTAGATATATATGTCATATTTATATCATCTCAATTTGTATGGACTTATCTGAAATCTTTGAAAAACTCTTTTCCATTCTGATCCTCTCTTTCTAGTTCTAGTCTCATCTTCCTAATTGCAAGGTAGGCATCTCAATCCTCATGAGTTTATCAAATTCAATGAGTACAAATAAAAATTTATGATTTCCTTTTATAGTCTTATCGCTACCAAAACCAGTATCTGTTCCTTCATGTGCTATTGTGCACTCTATCAGCATTCTCTCAGTATTGATACATGAATTACCTTTTACTACTTTCTCTATCTCAGTTTGTGTGAACATCTAACCAGCTTATGAGTTCTTTTTCTTAAATTTCTAAGTGATTCTAGGATTCATATACTCCTATCAGTATCTATTGTCATTATTCTAGCTTAGGGTCATATCTCACCTGGCTTTTTGGAAATAGCCAATATGGACTTCATTGCTATCTGAGTTTTCTCAAAACCCCTAGTGACATCCTGTTGTTTAAAGCATGAACTTCAAACTTTTAACATACTAATCAAGTGCTCCCTAACTTAGTTCCCAAATTACTATTTGAATCTTGTTCCCTACTGTATTCATACTAAGAATACAATAGTATTCCTAGTCTCTCCATGATATTTCTATTTCCTGAATATGGGGATTCTGAATCTTTTCTGTACCATGGATTTCTTTGGCAGTCTGGTGCAGTGCTTGGCCCCCTTCCTAGAGTAACATTTTTGAATGTATAAGATAATAAACTTAAGATTACCAAAGAAAACAATTCTCCAGTAATAAAATTCTGTCTGTTGACCCTGTTGTTTATGTCTTTGTGGCTTTGCTTATGATCCTCTTCCCACAGAAGTGCCCCTAAACCTACTTTTCTGATTATTGAAATCCTTCTCATCTTTCAAAGCCTATTCAATTCCCATCTCCTCTGTGCAACTTTACCTTCACTCCCTGCTCCATCGGTATTCACTGCTTTGCCCTTTGCCCTCTCGTAGATTATTTGTATTTTCAATTAGTCCTTATCTTTACTTTGCGTATTATTATAATATATTGTATTTATTGACAGTGATGGGCCAAACACTAAACTAGCCAATTTCACATTTTATGTCTTCATATTTCTTTTTAAAACACTATGAAATATGCATATCAGGAAGAAACTGAGGTCCAGAAGTTTTGTTGTTTGACCAAGATCACACAACTTTCTCCTTTTATAAATTATTTGAAGAAAGGAATATTTTATCTTCCTCTGTATACAGTCTCAGGATCTATGGAATAATATTTGTCTAGTAATCTTTGCTTATCTTGATTTAAAACATAGAAATACTGGAAAATACATATATATTATATATATGACAGAGACGTATGTAATAGTGTTCCTAGGTCAGTGTCTATGCCAGTTAACTGTGACTAAATGCTAATTAACATTATATAAATCCTTCTAATACCTAGTGGCTTCACAAATTGAAAGCTTACACAATGGTTTTCATTAGTCAATTTTTAAAAATATTATCTCGTTTTGTACTCATGAAAAAACAATAATAAAAGTTGAACAAATTGAAGAATTTGTAATCATAATGAATCCAAGAAATGTTTACATTTGTAATAAGATCAGTTGTATAACATATTTTCTATGCTACCCTCTCAGTGAAAAAAATAAAACCAAACCAATTTGCATTCATATGTTGATATATTTCGAGTCTAATTCTCTTGCACAAGTTTCACTTTTCTGTAGTCAAATGTTTTGCAAGTTTTCTTAAAACAGCATTGTTAGACTATTTTAGAATGAAAAAAGATTCATTTTAGCAATAGTAATGCTTTATTTGCAAAATATTATTTTGAGTTTAAAAATCACATATTTATAACTATTAATTTTTCATGTGGAAGTTCTATATGGATAGTAATTATTTGGAAAGGAATTACATCTTTTGATCTTCCAACACCTTTAACATGCTGTGAACTACAAATTAATGTGTAATTAATTCATATGGCTATCCATTTTTCATAATCTTTTCTATTATTGTACTATAGCAAGTATTAACTCAAATGTAGATGGATAATTGATTTTCTATTTTTACAGCTCCAGATGGTCCTCCCGAAAATGTGTATGTAGTGGCAACATCACCTTTTAGCATCAACATCAGCTGGAGTGAACCTGCTACCCTTACTGGACCAACATTCTATCTGATAGACATCAAATCAGTAAGGCTTGTCTTACCTTCTGCAAAAGGCAGTATGTGGCATGGTTAAGAATACAAGTTTTGGAGCCAGATTATTTGCATTTTGATTCTAGCTCTATTAGACCTTAGACAACTTACTTAACCTGTCTGTGTTTCGGTGTCCACACCTGTAAAATAAAGATTAATAATAGATAATAGTACCAAGGGTACAGAGATTTGGGGACAATTAAATCAGTTATTATGCACTCAATAAATACAACTAAATCAGTTAGTAAGCACTCAATAAATACAAAGTATTATTATCATGATTATTATATATTGATCCTTAGGGTGTAGATCAATTTAAACAAGTGGTTAAATTGATAATAAAACATTGGTTTAAAAATACAATAACAAAGGACTCATAATACAAAGTAAGAAGGGAGAAGGGCATTGGGGAAATATATCCCAAATAAATAACATCAGAGCTTATCATTATCTCTTCCTTTGCATTATCTCATCACATTTTATCTAACATTTTGATGTAAATATTACTATCTTCATTTTACATAAAGGGGAATTGAGGTACAGACATGATAAATAATTTTTCACATATCTGAGACCTGGCTAAGACAAGTAGACAGTGATGTGATAGGAAAAAGGAAAAGCCATTTAATAGCAAATAAAATTTCCCAAATTAAAACATATGCTCACCAAAACCACTTTGGATCAAAGATAGCAAGAATTCAAATGGATTCTAGCACTTCACAGTTTCCCTGAGATTCTTGGAACTGAGTAGTCATTTAGTTCCTTCCTTCTTTCATTCATTAGACACAAATTTTTAAGTACGTCCAACACACCAGCATTATTCTAGTAGCTGGATACGTAGAACCGAACAAGTCTGATGTCGTCACTATCGTCTTTATAGAACTTATCTACAGCTCATTCATAAATACATAACTATCTACATTCAAAAATCATTGGCTCCTGAGGCCCAGGAAGAAGAACATATGTCATTGAATTTAAGACTCATGGTGCAGCCTGGACTTTACCAAATGCTAGCCACAAGGACATAAAAGTCTTCCCTTATAAGATTCAAATTAAATAAAACTGACCACTTAAATAAAAATATATGAGTGCAGATATCATTCTGATTGATTCTACTGGAAATTCATTCTGTAGTCATTTGTTCATTGTTTCCTTTATTTTTTTCAAAATAAATATTTAGTGAGCAGCCTCTGTTTACCAAAATAAGGATGGAAACAAAGTTGTGCTCTCAAGTAGCTCCCACTCTAGTGGGAGACACTAGAATATAAATAGCTAATTATAGAGAGTGTGAGGTATGCAGTTTTGGTTGGTTGATTGGTTGGTTGGTTGGTTGGTTGGTTTGAAATGTACACTAACAAAATAATTAATGTTCCTGTTGTGGGGGACGTAAGATACAGAGGAGACTTAAATTTGTTCTGAGACTCCAGGAATGAATAGGGTATACCAGTGGGGAAAGGTGGAGGTGGGGCAGGAAAAGGAGAGAAACTAGAACCAATCTAATTACTGATATTATATATAAAACCACCACACTTCAAAAACAAATTTAAAAATGTTTTATAATAATAGATCATCAAATATAATATAAGCAAACAACTTTGGAATTGATTGAAGGGAAATGGTGAGCCAAAAAGTCTGAACTGTCAGTCCTAGGTGAGTGGACAAACAATGGTTAACAATAACAAAGACAGAATAGGTTTAGTGAAGAAAGAAAATAAATTTTGTACATGTTATATTTAAAGACCTAGCATTCTTTCGGGGTTTTATTAAGAACATTTTTAAGATACAGTAGACCACATGCATGCCACATTGTATTTTTACTTCTCAACATTTATTATTCATTGTTTTTATGGAAGGCACTGGAATAATTTAATTTTTTCTTTATGATATCATGCCCAGTGAACTTACGTTAGTGTAGAGAGTGCCGGACTCCTGAAACACCTAAGTACAAATCCTATTTAGGTACTGAGTAGCTATGGAATCTTGAGGAATTCACTTCAATTCTATAATCAGAGATCAAGCAGCTATAGTACATAGTCAGACAATTAACATAAATGGGTAGTGAAAATGAAGCCAACTGGGTGGGGCAATAATGAAGACCTATGCTCCATCATAGGAGTTAACTATCACTCTTTATAATTGTTACACAGCATGAATATAAGCATAGTCTTAAAGAAAATTTTAAAAGCCAGATTCTATGTGATATTTAAATGTTGACAATTAATTAAATACACACGCACTCACTAGTTGTGAATAGAACAATTGAATTTCTATGCTAATTTATTTTTCTGCCATTTTAGAGAGTGGAACATCTCCTTCCACTGCTCTGTCTAAAGGTGGGAACAATCTATTTGACTTCTTGCAATGCCAATATTATTTATCAGCTTCTTGCTATGTTTCTCATAGCAACATCTTTAAGTTGAAAAACACTCTCAGAAAAGAGCATTTGAAGAACATACTGAACAAAAAAAAATCTTTCAAAGTTACGAGAAACGTTCAAGTTGAAAATGAACATAATATTTTGAATAGTGTTTATAACCTGTTTTAGAGGGTTTCAAGTCAAGTACCTGAAACTATCATGCAGAAAATTTCAAATTTTCTGATGTTCATTTCAGAAAAAGCCCTTCCATTTAGTGCTAGAAACTTTAGCTACGTTTAGTCTCTACAGTGAATAGGCCAGACTCTCCATCAAAGACATATCATGTTTAAATAAATTATACAACTATATTTAGTACACCTAATGACACTTATTTGTGCATAATTAGTAATTATTACATTCACAATTGAGTCCTCATCCAATACCATTCATAGTAATAGGTCAGAGGTTTTTCAAACTGCGTTCATGACTGGAATTTTAAAATGAATTGGAATAAAATTTAAAAGAGCAGAAAATATCACAGTGCATTTCAGAAAGAAGTTGTATTTCTGAAAATCATTTTTGAGTTGTAAGTAAGTATATATATGAGTGTATATACGTACATACATATATCCTGAATTATCTAATTATATTACTAATGTGTTTCCTTTTCGTGGTTCATAGTAAAAAACAAACAAACCAACCAACCAAAATCTAAAATCTCCATGCCAGTTATTTCAGATCTATTTTTTCTAAATCTCAACAAAACACTGTAAATAGATATTATCACCCCAATTTTACATACACAGAAATTAAGACACAGAGAACATAAGTAACTTGCCAAATGCTACGGGAACTATTAAGTGAACCAAATAGTGTTTCATTGACTTCTGATTCTTGCTTGATTTTGATGATTTTTAATGGGTTGGTTAATTGTGGTTGGTTCATTGTTTTGGTTTTTCCTTTTACTTTCAGTTGTTGAAATAATTGCTAATAAGTAAACTATTAAAGTAGCACTTTAGATTTCCCAGGACAATCTGATTGAAAAAAAAAAATGCAGTTGACCTTGAACAACAGTGAGGTTAGGGGCACTGACCCTGCACAGTTGAAAATCTGTGTATAACTTCTGACTCCCCTAAAACTTGAGTTGTCTCTCAGTATTTGAAGGGGACTGGTTCCAGGAGCTCCCACAGATACCAAAATTCACAGATGCTCAAATCTCCTTTATAAAATGATGTAGATCAACATATACAGTTGGCCCAATGCATCTGTGGATTCCCAACAGTGGATTGAAAACAGTACAGGTATTTGTTGAAAAAACGTCAGTATCTGAGTGGATCTGCATAGTTCAAACCTGTCTTGTTCAAGGGTCAATTGTACTTTAAATCTTGACTTGATAAATAAGCCCACGTGGCTTTAAATTATTATATTTTAGCGATTTGATTTGTGTCTCATATGCTGCTTCCTTTAATTGTTAGCTATTTTTTTTCCTGTAGGTAGATAGTGATGAATTTAATATTTCCTTAATCAAGTCAAATGAAGAAAACAAAACCATAGAAATTAAAGATTTAAAAATCTTCACAAGGTATTCTGTGGTGATCACTGCATTTACTGGAAACATTAGTGCTGCATATGTGGAAGGAAAGTCGAGTGCTGAAGTGATTGTTACTACTTTAGAATCAGGTAAGGTATATTTTTCATCTGCTAAAAATTGAGAGTTAGATGTCTTTCTTACAGTTTCTCACATCCCACTGTAAAAAAGAGTATATGTATTATGAGAAGTTCGTAAAGCATATAAATATAAAATTCAATGACTCGCTGTGATTGACAAAAGTTTAGCTTTCTATTTCTTAGGAAAAGTGGAATTCTGTAGAATAATCAATCCTTGTAAATACAAAAACAAATTACTTCATAATAAACCCAATTGTCCTTTTTTTGTATTTATTTAAACAGTAAATATTTCAGAAATTGTTACCTTCCCTAAGAGATGATTTTTCCAATTATCTATAGCCAATAATGCTTCACCTAAAACTCCATTTTAATTATTTCTGTCTCATGATGGAAGTGTACATAAAAATGATAATACTCTATTATTAAATAATCTGGAATTCAAAATTAGAACCCAGGTCATGTTTACCATATCTGTTTTCTTCACTTAATTAAGTGACATGTTTTATTATATAATCTATTTGATAAATGCCAGAATCCATACAGATTTCCTCAAGTTCCTATGAACAGGGCCTGAATGAATAATAAGATTTTAACCAATAAAAATTACGTGTGGAAAATCAACTTCCCAGAACTCGCTTGCCCCATCCTCCTTCAGACTCCTGATGTTCTTTGCCATCAGATATATCTTTGGAAAAAACACATGAAGGGATGTGTTGCTATAGTTTATTTGTTACTATCTGTAAGGTAATTATTGGAAATAAAAATATTTTCTAGTTAGTCCTTTCATTATGTTACATACTGTATTGTCTATAAAGTTATGGCTCTAAATTGAAAGGTACATCTTATTCTTAGCACTCTAAAATTCCACGTTTCCATTTTGCTGTCACATATATCCCAGGTATCTATTTTCTTATACTTTTTTCACTTCTCCTTCATCTTACCTATCTGTGAGAAAAGATCCTACCAAACTCGGTCACATTCATGCCATAAAGCGCTGATTGCAAATATTAATGTGCTACCTCTCTAAAGGGTATCGAAGTTTAATACTTTTTTACTAAACTTTTAAAAGTAGAATTTTAAAAGTAGAATTCTAGATATAAAGGCAAAAATATTTGGAGTATAAGAAGTTCTTTCTAACATTCAGAGAATTCTTTCACTCATCTAACTTTAAACCTAATCTTATTTTTGAGAAATATCTCTTGTACAAAGAAGATATATAGTATTTCTTATGTGTCCTAAAAAATGTGAAACAGCTGATTTGAAAATGTGTTTTGAACTAATCTAACCTTTATTTTAGCTATGCATTTTCCACTTATAATGTGATATTTGACACAATAACATCTGATTCTCTTTTTTTTCAGTTATTTACTTATTTTTTGCTTGCTATGGGGCACTATCTCTAAAGATGTCTAAAGATGTCTAAAGAAAATAAAGCTTAAGTATCTGAACTCTTAATAGTCAAATATTAACAGCTTTCTTCATGGAGATTCTTAACTTAAAATGGAGGAATATATCCATTTCAATTTGATCAAAATAGAGGCATTCATTCAATCAGTCATTTATATAAAGAACACTAATTATGTAGTACAGCAAGAACTAGTTTCTATATTCATAAACTAATTTTATCCTTATGTATATCATTTTCTTTCACAATAATTTGTTGATACTTAGCTAGTATGTTAGTTATATATTGAAAAATAAACTGGAACATCTAGATTGTATAAAGAACTCTCAAAACTCAACATTTTAAAAATCCAATTAGAAAATTGATGAAAGACATGAACAGACATTTCACTAAAGAGAAGATATGATTGGTAATATAGTTTAATAATTTGGTAATATAGCTTTTCAGCATCATCGACTATTTGGAAAACGCAAATTAAAACCACAATGAGATATCACTATGCATCTACTAGAACAGATAAAATAATTTTTAAAATAGTGATAATACCAAAAGCTGGCAAACATGTAGAAAATTGGATTTCTTGTACATAGCTCATGGGAATGTAAAGGGTAGAGTTACACTGGAAAATAGTTTGATAATCTTTTATGAAATGAAACATGTACTTACTACATGAACCAGTAATAACACTCTTGGGTGTTTACCACAGAAAATTGAAAACTTATGTTCATGCAAACATCTCTATGTAATGTTAATAGCAGATTTATTAGTAATAACTAAGAAAATTTCGAAACAACCCAAATGTTTTTCAGTGATTAAACAAATTCTGATATATCCATAAAATGGAACACTACTCAGAAATTTGAAACAAAGCATGCTCTATTGATATATGCAACAACTGGTAAACTTTAAGGTCATTATGTTATCGTCTTTCTCAAAATGACAAAACTAGGGAGATGGAGAATGACTAGAATGGAATTGGATGTTTTAGGGTGGGATGGAGTCCAAAAACAAGGGGATAGAAGGAGGAAGTTCCTTCATGGTGATGGGACAGTTTTGTATTTTGTTTCTGGTGATAGGTACAGGAATCTATATGTGGGATTAAATTGCATAGAACTATACACACATACAGGAAAGCATGAAAAAATGGTGAAATGTCAATAAGGTCTGTACGCAAGTTAACAGTATTATACCAATGTCAGTTTCCAGGTTTGATATTAAACTATAGCCATTTAAGATGTCACCACAGGGGAAAACTAAGGGAAGTTTACATAGGACCATATGTATGATTTTTGCAACTTTCTGTGAGTCTATATTACTTTTAAGTTTAAATACTCATAGAAATGCATTCTGTAAAAATTAATGTGTATAAAAAATAAATAAATAAATAATAAATATTCACATGAACTGATCACTATTATGGTTCCTGTGACCTATAGATGTCAATGATTCTACAATACATCAGCCATTTTGCTAGTTTTCATAATTTATATGGCTTAAATAATATATGAATACTCTTCATAAATAAAATTTTAAAGCAAATACATTTTATATGGAGATCAAAAAAACAATGTTTTTCAATTTAATTACTAAATATTTCATTTTAGTCCCTAAGGATCCACCTAACAACATGACATTTCAGAAGATACCAGATGAAGTTACAAAGTTTCAGTTAACATTCCTTCCTCCTTCTCAACCCAATGGAAATATACAAGTATATCAAGCTTTGGTTTATCAAGAAGATGATCCTACTGCTGTCCAGATTCACAACCTCAGTATTATCCAGAAAACTGACACAGCCGTCATTGCAATGTTAGAAGGACTAAAAGGTGGACACACATATAATATCAGTGTAAGCATTCGTAACTTTTAATTACTCACCTATTTTACAAAGTCAATTTACAAACTCAGCATTCAAAAATACTACAGTTTATGTACACACTACATTTTTTGTATCTTTTTGTAAGATCGTTTAAGACATGCCAACAGAAAATAGATTTAGAGAAAATTGCCGATTTCCTACCATAATACAGCATGTCCTATGAAAATATGTAGATAACAAAAATGTTTGTACAGCTATAGTAGAAATACAGAAATAAAGTAGAGGAGAAAGAAAATGCATATTAAAAGTAAAACAGCAGTGATATATAAAGATATGATTCTGAAAAGGAATATTATTTATGTGTGATTATAAATGGAAAATGGAAAAGAAAATTTCAAAGGCAAAGGGCAGAAATAACTATTTACATAATTGAAATTCACATGTATTTCACATAACTATTACTAAAAGCTAATAGCGTTTTATATCTTGATTCCAAATTATCCATTTTGGAAAGTAAATATTTATATGAGTTCATATGTATACATACAATAATCCTTTGACTATTTTTGTAGCATATCATAGAATTTTCAAAGAGAATTATATAATTCAGAAAATCATCTTTTAAGCAACATTAAATTCATCCTAAAACTTCAAGATGCTTAGTAACTAATCCTCCTACCGATTCTTTACAATTGTCGGAACATTATAAATGATTTGTGTACATATGTATATTCTTTTCTTTCCTTACTCACTCTATATCTTATTATATAATCTGTCTTGCTATGATTCTTGTTGCACTTACCATTAAATGGACCACCACTGTGAAAGATCTATTACAAGGAGGGTGATGGTTAAAAGAATGATCTGAGTTGGGTCCAAATCCTAGCTCTACTATTTTCTGTGTCTGGTCAATTTCTTCAAATCTGTACCTTAGTTTCCTTATCTGAAAAATTAGTAATAGGAGTAATAATTTATTTTAGGATTTTTGTGAGGATTAACGATTTAAGTGATGGTAAATAGTACATGCACTATCAATTTTTCTTATTGTGAATAAGAGAAAAAAATAGGAAGTAAAACAAAGCACAACTAATTCATAATTTAAAAAACAAGATATAAATTCTCTGTTCACAGGAACAACTTACAGCATCCTCAACTCCTGATAGTTTATTAGAAATGTATAACTTTAGCACCTATCATAATCTGCTTAATCAAAATCTGCATATCTTCATTTAACAGAGTTTGCAAGTGACTTCAATGCAATATAAGCAGCACTGCCTAAATCTTCATTTATTATCTCACTCAAATGTTAGGTTGTATCATAGAGAAATAAAAATAATGAAGTATACCATAATATCACTTTTCATTTAGTATATTTTCTTTCTTATATTTACAAACTTCAATAAATATTTTCTTCAGATATATTTTAATCATATTTTTTGAGCTTGCTTTATTTACCATACCTATCACATTATATATATATATCTCATTATAATTTTAATTCAATAAAAATATCTGTAGTATGGAGTGTGGGCCACGAATATATACACAAATAAATTAATTCCGATAAACATATTATGTTCTGAACTTTTTTTTATCAAGTATAATGAAAGTGGCCAAGACCATAGTCTTTGTTTTATATAATAAGCAAGGTAAAGTGAATAAAAGAAGATTCTGTGTCTACAACTTCTTAAGCTCAAAGTTAATTGAAAGGGTTCACATTTGTGTAAATCACCCTCTGTATATACAAGTAGAAATGCTTTATGTGTATATGCTGCATTATGCAGGTTACAGCATCAGATACTTTGGGGCAGGGGTGAAGAAGGGCATAAAGGGCAACTTTCAGAGGGGATGATTTAATACAGGAAAACTGGGAAGCTGAAGGAATAGGGTTTCATCTCAGAGAAGGAAAGAAGAGGATCTTGAATATGGATTTAAAGAAAGCAAGAGTTACCTAGCTACAGAGAGGAGGAACAGATGTTAAATTAGACGAAGAGAGAGTGTAGACTACTGGCTTTTCTTTTCTATTCCTCCTACGGGTTCAAATTGAAGACGCAACCCTTTCCTGGTCTCTGTGATCAGGCTATTTAGGTCACTCATCCTTTGTTCTCAGGGACTGGCAACATAAGATCTGTTTTAAGCATTACTTTACTGTAAATGTTCTTCCTCCATGTATTATATGCATTTAAGTGAGTGTATGAAAAATATAATAGGCTACATGCAATTGTTCTTAAAAGTGAAATCATTTTTAAACTACGTATAACCATAATCAGTCATGTATACACATAAGCGATAATTTGAAAATAGTAACAAGACATTTCTTTATTTTAGGTTTATGCAATCAATAGTGCTGGTGCAGGGCCAAAGGTTCAGATGAGAATAACCATGGATATTAAAGGTACAAACACGAGCTGCCTTTCCACAAATGCTGTTGTTTTAATCAAACAATAATTATAATTTGAATTCCATATTAGACTTAAGGATGTAGCCAGGCTTTTAAATGATGCATATATGTATAATAAGCATATTTAAGTAATAATGTATGCTTATTAAGTTATAATTAAAATGTCTAAATAATGATGCAAATTAGCACATTAAGTAAAGAGAATGCCCAACTGCTATTTTTCTTACATTTCTTTTCCTCTAAATTTAAACTTTTCTGAGACAAATTTTACAGTCTTTTATTTTGCTTTTTAATTTTATTGAAAACAAAACTCATTCTTTAAATTATTTATGACTAGAAGTTGACTAGTTCTTATTAGACTCCTTGACTGACATTTATTTATATTGAAAGTCAGATTCTTTTTAGTTAATCAGATAGTGTTTACTGAACTACCACAGATTCAACTTTATGATTCTGACTATAAAGTAGATCCATCAATTCATTATTCTGACAGGTAGTTTTCATAGCAAATATAACAAAAATTTGGAGTCCATCACCCCCTCAAATCCTAAAAAGATATTTAAGAGGAATTTAGGGCCATTCAGTCATTCAGGTTACCTTCTCTGCCTGAGACGGAAAACATGCATGTGATTGTGCCATCTCTCTAAAAATCTATGTAAAACCTGCAGAGAAATAATTAATTAATTAATTAATTAATAAGTTGTGGACTTTAATAGAATTTCGCCACATGACACTTCTTGTTTTAAAGCAAAAAGTAACTTTTCTCAGTCTTTGGTAAGGACAGCAGAGCCCAGTGATTATAAGAAAAAGGTAAAGGGGGTCATATACATGGTGACAGATTTGGCTTGGATGGTGAACACACAATGCAATATACAGATGATGTATTATGGAATTGTATGCTTGAAACCTATGTAATTTTATTAACATCACCCTAATAAATCTAATAAAAAATAAACAAAAGTGCTGGCTCTGGGCTGAGTCTAGCGTCAAACTGCTGAGATCAAATCCTGGATTGGCCACGTGATATTTGTTTGACTTTGGGCAAATTTCTTAACCTCTCTAAGCCTATATAGTAGAGATAATATTAATTCCTACCTCATAGATTATTGTGAGGATTAAAAGATATAATCTTTGAAAAACCCTAGGCTGGTGCCTAGAAACTAGTACTATCAAGAATAAGAAATATTTATTGTAAGGTAATGCTGATAAATTTTATCTTTTTATCAATCAGTAGTTTATATAATTGCAATACTATTTTGTTTTTAATTATTTGTTTTTAATTGATAAATTATGTACTTAGAATATATAAATATGTAAAGTCTTAAAAAATATCAGCAATTTTATACAATGACTTCATAAAGAAAAGCCTGCATTATATCATCTTAATCTCTTTTTGTTATTTGGTGGCGGACATGTAGGTATGGAGGAACAATAAATACATTATATTAATTCTTTAGTAATACTTCTCATTTCAGATGCTTTGGTCATACCAGGCAAAGATGAATAATTCTGACTTTCCTCTTTTCAGAAGGCAGATAGACTCATGACCAGTTATCTAGAGAAGGTATTTAAGTAACGGTGGCAGTAGTGAGGTCCTAGAGAAATTAATTTTTCTCCAATAATATGAATAATTTTATTAGTAACATGGAGTCTCATTAAATTTACATTTGACAAACAACATCGAGTTGGATAGTCATGTCCAATACCAGATTCTTCTAACTGGAAACCTTTTCTTGGAGACTCCCTAGCAGCCTAGCTGAGAGCACCTCAGAACTCCCTGAAACCTGAGGCTC